AGACAACAAAGTTTTAGTAATTAAAACGCAACCAAAACACAGAAAATTGAACTGTACCAAAGTCAGACAACAACGAACCACTCAGTCAGACCAGTAAGAGGGTGGAACCAGCGGCTGGCAGACCAGGGTTGGGCATGAAAAGGTGGCTGACCAACCCAGGGTGCAGGCAGCAGTTGGCAAATCCCAGGTGTGGGGTGGCAATGGGCGGACCCAGTGAGGATGCAAGGTGGCTGGCTGACTACGGTCACATGTTCCCACGCAAATAAAAAAGGCAGAGGAGCGAGCACTGAGACAGCGCAAACCAGGGCCCCAGCACCGGGAAATAAAGCCTAAAAGCATCGATTGGAAAAACTCTCAGGGTCAAGCTTCCGGGAGAAGCTCCCAGGCTCACAGAGAGTTCACTGGAGAGACCTACAGGGTCTTGGAGGGTGCACAGGCCCACACACCCAAGAACCAGTACCAGAAGGGCCCAATTTGCTTGCGGAAAGCAGCAGAGGGGATGGAAGTCTGAGAAAGAGCAGAAAAAATGCCATTGCCCCTCTCTGACCCTGCCCCCACATACGACGTCACAACCCAGCAATTGGGTGGCCCTGCCCTGCTGAACACCTAAGGCTCCGCCCCTCGTTCGTAACAGGCGTGAACAGACCAAAACATTATGGCTCAAGAACAGCTCAAAGCCCCAGAGCCAATACTTCTAAGTGACCAAGAGATAGTCAACCTATCTGATGCACAGTTCAAAACACTGGTGATCAGGATGCTCACAGAACTGGTTGATTTTAGTCACAAATTAGAGGAACAAATGAAGGGTAAACTAATTGAAATGAATAGAAATGCACAGGAAACCAATAGTGATGGGAAGGAAACTGGGACTCAAATCAAGGGAGCAGACCAGAAGGAAGAAAAAAAAACACAAACAGAAAAGAATGAAGAAATAAGAATTCAAAAAAATGAGGACAGGCTTAGGAACCTCCAGGACATCTTTAAACGCTCCAACATCTGAATTATAGGGGTACCAGAAGGGGAAGGGGAACAGTCACAAAGGGAAACCTTATTTGAACAAATAATAAAGGAGAACTTCCCCAATCTGGCAAAGGAAACAGACTTCCAGGAAATCTAGGAAACTCAGAGAGTCCCAAAGAAGTTGGACCCAAGAAGGAACACACCAAGGCACATCATAATTACATTAGCCAAGATTCAAATGAAGGAGAGCATCCTAGAAGCAGCAAGAGCTAAGGGGACAGTCACCTACAAAGGAGTTCCCATCAGACTGTCAGAGGATTTCTCAAAAGAGACCTTACAGGCAAGAAGGGGCTGGAAAGAAGTATTCCAAGTCATGAAATCCAAAGACCTACAACCAAGATTGCTCTATCCAGCAAAACTTTCATTTAGAATGGAAGGGCAGACAAAGTGCTTCTCAGATAAGGTTAAGTTCAAGGAGTTCATCATCACCAAGCCCTTATTATAAGAAATGTTAAAGGGACTTATCTAAGAAAAAGAAGATAAAAAAGATGAACAGTAAAAGGACAGCAAACTCACAGTTAGTAACAACCACACCTAAAACAAAAACAAAGAGGACAGGTAGATCAGAAGCAGAACCATAGAAATGAAGATCACATGGAGGGTTAGCAACAGGGGAGTGGGAGGAAGAGAAGGGGGGGAGAAGGTACAGAGAATAAGTAGCATAGACAGTAGGTAGAAAGTAGGGGGAAGGGCAAGAATAGTAGGGGAAATATAGAAATCTAAAGAACTTGAAACTTGTGGTCATAAACTAAAGGGGGGTGGATTATGGGAGAGGGGGTGTGCAGAGTGGAGGGGAATGAAGGGGGGGAATAGGACAACTGTAATGGCATAATCAATAAAATATATTTAAAAAATAAAAAATAAAATTAAAAAATAAACTAAAACTTGTTTGAGCTTGCTGATTAGAAGACTACATTCTGCCTTTAGAAATAATTCAGTGCTATTCTTTGTGTATTATGATGACACTACCAGATTCGAGTTGCTCTCCCAGAGCAACAGCGAGTGCACTGAGTCACGCACCCGCCCTTCCACTCATCAATCCTTCCCTTCACCCCCACTCCTTCCTGCCATCGGTCCACCCACTACGGTCTCTGACAGGTTCCTCCATTCATTCTGGCAGCAAAGGTATACATTTGCGAGATAGCTGATCAGGGTTAGAAATCAGGTCTGAAGCCATGGAATAAATTTTCTTTATGAAACATTCACAGTCTCACTCACTGCTGACATGAGTGCACATTTCTGGAGAGCAGCTTAGCACTAAATTGTAAAGAGCCTTAAAAGTGTGCATATATTTTGACCTAGTAATCTCCCTAGTAGGAACCAATCCTAAAGAAAGAAGCAAAGACTCACTAAAAGGATTTATGTAAAAGAATAAACAATAGGCCCTGGCTGGTGTGGCTCAATAAACTGAGTGCCAGCCTGTGAATCAAAGAGTCGCTGGTTCAATTTCTAGTCAGGGCACATGCCTGGGTTGCAGCCAGGTCCCCAGTGAGGGGTGTGCAAGAGGCAACCACACACTGATGTTTCTCTCCCTCTCTTTCTCCCTCCCTTCCCCTAAAAATAAATAAAATCTTTTAAAAAAGGATAAACAGCAGCACACTTCTCATAATCCTGAAAAGTTCCTCATACAGAAAGGAACTAGAAACAACCTGATTAAACAATAATAGCTTTCCAGAAGATAATTAAATAGTATGATAATAAATTCAAATTAAACCAATAAATCCTATTTTTCAAGGAGTGTTTAATGATGTGGAAAAGTGCTTGTAAATATTGTTAAATTTAAAAATGTAGTATATATACAGTATAATTATAATCCTCAGGAAAAAGGAAACTAGAGGAAAATATCAACTTATAGACAAAGAGTGGTTACTTGTGAATGGTAAGACTATGTAATTCCTCTGTTTTACTTTATAATATTTTCCAAATTGTCCAAAATTACCATGTATTAGTATTACTGATACAATTAGGAGAAGCAAGGTCTATAAACAGATTTTAAACTTACATCTCTAAAAAAAAAACTGATAAGAAGAAGGAAAAAAAAAGAGAAAGAAAAAGCTATTCAGCCTGGCCTTCAACCTTCAATTCTGACCAGGTTAGTATTTCAAACTTATATTAATATAAACATTTGTTGAATTGAACTATCCCAATGCTAACCTAGGCAGACTTGGCAAGAAGCATTTCATTTGATCCTCTGAATTTTGCTGAAAAATTCTCCCCTGACATATGTGAACTCTGCTTTGGCTGGGTGGCTCCGTTGGCTGGGTGGCTCCGTTGGCTGGAGCATCGTCCCGCGCACCAGAAGGTAGTGAGTGGGTTTGACCCCTGGTCAGGGCATATACCTGAGCTGCGGGTTCTATCCCTGGCCAGGGTGTGCACAGGAGATAACTGATTGACGTTTCTCTCTCACATTGATATTTTTCTCTCTCTCTCTTTCTCCCCCACTTTCCTCTCTCTCTAAAATCAATAAACATATCTTCAGGTAACAATTTAAAGTATATACATATATATGAATTCTAATCCCTGACTGCTGTTTATTGCCGCTGATGTCTACGAATGCCCAACACCCCCCTCCCCCGTACTGGTGCCCAGTTATCACACGTGCAGCCTCCCTTTTCACCTTAATTAGGCCTATGCGTGAGAGGAGAATATCTGAAAACTATCATACAAAAGCTATTTTTCAGAAGCTGCCTGGCTGTGCTGATACTAAGGAGGGACTGAGGTAGCCCCGTAACACACTGCCACATTCAACTATAGGGTCTTGGAAGAAAAAGGACAGACGAGACCACTTCCTCTGCACTCCCGCAATACACTCCACAGGCCTGACACCCTCTGAGATGACTTGAGTGTGAGTTGACTTCTCCTACTACACTGCAAAGTCCCTGCAGGAAGAGACTGCAGCTTTTCTCGGGCTCCTGTCTCCCCGGCACATACAGTAACTATACAAGAAATGTTTCTGAACTGAACTACATTGATGTCACCACCCCCCAAGATTTAAAAAGAAAAAAATATATTCAAGATTTTTAAAACTTTGAGCACTAGGGAAGAACTACCAAATTACCCAGGAATTTATATGATCTGGAACTTGACAAAAGCAGGAAATTGAATCAGAATTCAGAGAATGTTTGGGTATTACAATGGGCAGAGGTGGAAAGTGTTTTTTCCATCAAGGATTTCTGGCCCAAGTTCAGGATTCAAACGACAGCCACATACAAATTTAAAAAGCAATTTCATTTATTTTTCTCTCTTTTTCCTTAGAATGAGAAAGAAATATTAGCAAAAAGGATATAAAATATTCCCTAAATATAAGGGATACTTTAAAATATACTTTATATTGTGGTACAGTAAATGTAAAAGGAAGGCCAAAAAAAAGGGTAGCAGGGACACATATTCACTTTGAGGGTGGCCACTGGCTCTAATATGGGAGGGCATACTCCCATATTTAGCAGAAATCAGAAATAACTATCCACTGAAAAATTATGCTCATAAGATTGGTATAAAACAGATCATGTTAGCCACATGTAGAAGCTTCCACATGCAAAAGCACCTGTAAATCTATTACAGAAAGGAACGAGTAGCTTTTCGAACTCTGTCCAGTGAGATGGCAGTCTACGGTGTACGTGGTTGAGCACTGTACAACTCCGGGCGTGCCATTCGTACAGTGGCGCCTCTTGGAGTTTTTACAGCAGTGAACAACCTGAATAACTGTATGTGGCATTCCTGGATTTACTAACACATTTGAGTTACAGCAGAACCGGAAAGGCCCCCTGAGCTCTAGAACAGGAGCTTTCCAGAGGAGCCGGATTGACATTCGGCGCCAGATCACTCTTTGCTGTAGGGAGCCGTCTTGTGCATTGTGAATGTTCAAGAGCACCTCTGCCCTCACCATGGCAGCATACCAAGCCTCCAGGTGTAGAGGCTTTGGTTCCAAAGCCATGCTGCTCCACCACCCTGTTTCAGGTGGATGGAACAAGAAAACTCACCTAATGCCCTGACAATCCGCATCAGGACTTCCCCGACTTTCATTCTGGTCTCCGGAGTGTGCTTGTCCTTACTGCCGTCATACTGAGCCAACAGGCCAAGCAAGATTTTCTCAGGGTACGCATCTGCGAGCAGGGCAACCCCTGGGTTGAAAATAAGAAGAGAAGTCATTACTATTTAGGACTGAAAGGCAAATAAACCCAGACAGCCTGTGGTGGGATGACCTCAGAGACATTTAAACCCACCTCTGTTATTCTCAGCAAGGGCCGCCCTTTATCTGAAGTGACAGCATAGTGAGTGGAAAGAACACGGGTCTGGGAGTCCAGACCCTCGATTCGTCTAGTCTCAGGCCTCTGTGATCTCCAAGGTCACTTCCAGCACTGACATTATGATCTATGAATTACAGACTCTTGAAGCAGAGGCTAGATGATTACAACCATGGTAGGGATTCACCCAACAGCAGCAGACAACCAGATTAGATGCCTCCTAGAAATCCTGATTCTGAGGCTTTAGGGTTCTGTATCTACTGCTGTCCCTGCCAACACAAATGCCAGAGGCACAGCAGTGATCCCTGTCTCTGCTGCAGTTCTCCGTTCCAGTATGAGTTCTCTCTGTAAAACTGTCCGCAATAGCAACTTCCACAAGGAAATCTCTTCAGAGCATCTGGGCATGATCAGCAGTGGATAGAGGCTCATGGCTGAGTCCCCTGATCAGAAATAGAAAAGATCCCTTGTGAGTCCCCCTTCCTAGGGCTTACTGATCCCTTCACCCATCATGCCCGCACCTCCCAAATGTGTCATCGGCAACAGTGTTCCCATTATCTGTGCCCAGCTCCATAGCAAGCAAACTTTAGAGGGGTGGAGGGAGGAGAGAATGACCTAAAACAGGACCAGAAATAAAGCCCCTGGTCTTAAAGCATATAAATACAATTCTATCACTGAGGTTGGGTAGGTGGGCAAAGTTACATACTTCTTAAGAATAGTGAGAAAAAAAAGAAAAAGCAAACAAAAGAAATACAAATTTCAAAATATATCCAAGATGAGAACGCTTCTCACCACCTCCATCTCAAATAATGGTTCATCATCTCTGGTCTGGTTTTTTTTCAGTGATCTCCTAATTGGTCTCTCTGCTTCTACCCTATTCCCTAATTGCAGCTGGAACTTTCTGATTAAAACATAAATCAGGTCCCATCATTTTTCTGTCCAAATCCTTCAGTGGTTTCCCTTCTGCCCTGAATGTGAGCAGCACCCACTGCCCACCTGCCTTTGCTTTCTCTCTGACCTCATCTTTTGCCACACTCTCCTCTGCTCCCTGTCGTCCAGCAACTCTGGCCTCCTCGCTGTTCGCAGAGCAGACTGACCACCTTGCTTCCTCCTCTGCCCAGGCTGCTCCTTGTCCAGGGAGCCTCACTGCTTGCTCTCCAAACCCCATCACGTCTCTGTTCAAATACCACATCTGTCATATATAAAATGGCAGCCCCCTTCTCTTACCACTCTCTGTCCTGTTCACCCTGCTTCATTTTTCCTCTCAGCACTTAGTATTACCTGACACGTTATATATTTGCTTATTTATCGACTGCTCTCCTCCTTAGTACGTGAACTCTACAAAGTGAGGGATTTTGTTTTATTCCCTGCTACAGCTTTCATGCCTAGAAGAGTTCCAGCACACAGCAGGTGCTCAATAACTACTTGTCAAATGAATGAATGAACAACAACAACAACAAAAGAGTTCAAAGATACAGTCTTGATATAAATTTCAGGAATTAAAAAAGAGAAGATGGGGAACGAGTAATACAAATGTTTGAGAAATCTGTAATTATTATTTTTTTTACCTGAGTTAAGCATTCTCCTGTTTAAACTTGACAATCTTGCAGGCAAAGTCTACACACAATTTCCTGTGTTATAGGTTGTGATTCCATCTGTTATAAATTAGATATACAAAAGGCGGAGCACTTGCTGAGGGCTGTGCTTGTCTGCCCATCCTTTCCTGCTCTCCCCACTCCTACCTTTTCATTGCTTCAGGAAAAGCCTGGGAAGTCTCTGCAGGTGGTCCTAAGTCACAGCTCCCTTTATGTAGCCTCCAATTTTATACAAACAGAAGCTCTGCTCTTAAGGGAGTTTCGGGCTGTGGCAGAACCTGAATTGGATAACTTCCCTGATGGCAAAATGTGACCCTGCATTGGTAGTCAGCTCTATTTTGTAAAACAATGGACAACTTCTTGGAGGTCCAAGGTGGAATTAGAAACATCCTACCACAGGAAAAAGGTCTGTGGCTTAAGAAAAGGATAAATGTCTTGTTTACTAAGGGAGAGAAAGGAAACAGCTTCCAAGTTCTGAAAGGGCCCCAAAGGAAAAACAAATGGTGCTTGGTAACTGCCATTCCGGTAGATGTTGGATACTGATATGTCACAAGGCCTCATGCATATTACAGAGCTGTTGCTATCATAACTACTTTTCCATTAGAAGTTCCCGGCTAAAAAACCTGATAGATCTGCTTCCTTTTGGGGAATAAAAGGTTGTGACTTTATAATGGAAGTCAGTGGAAAAATGGGATTGGCTCTATAAAACTTTGATCTATATCTAGCTTTTCTAAAGCACATCTATTATTAAAATCCCTCCTACTGTCATTTATGCCTATTTTCTCTCGTTAATCTTTGGCAGAGAACAGTATGAGCACATTATGCTTCTATATCTGCTTCTACATGCTTCAAAATGAGCTCTGGACTTCCTCCCTATATCAGGCACTTTTGGTGGCACACAGCATCTTCTCTCTCAGTAGTGGCACCAGGTGTCTCTTTGGTAGGTATCCCTTCTCCTCCGCTTTCAGCCTTTGTGTTTGGAGTGGAGCTAAGGTCCTACTTGCCCTCCATGTGCAAACTCATATCCCAGGCTGGCCAGGCAGGACATTGCCTCCTATCCCCAATGGACCGGTTCAGGAACGGGCAATCCCGTTCAACCCTGAAGCCCCCATGGGAACTACTGGGAAAGATGAGTTCTTCTCACTTTTCTTTCCTATTGAAGTGATTAACCTGAAGCTGCCAGTGGCCACTGCGTGCAGGAAGCCCACCCAAAATGGTGCCAACACAGAGGAGGGGAAGCCGAGAGAGGGAAGGAGAAGAGATGGCCTGCTGTGAGCCCCTGGGTCCGGCCAGCTAGACTCTCTGGATCTACAAGCCAATAAATATAATATCCTTTATGTCTCTGCCAGTTTGATTATTTTCAGTCAAACACAGCCTTCTTCGGATACATATTTTTTTAATTTCAGATTTTTTATTTTTACTTTTCCTATAAAGCCAAACCTTTAATTCCACTAGGGAGCTTTAAATTCTCCCAGTCCTGCATTAAGACGTTGCCAATAGCAAAGTCCAGTTTCCTTGCTTCCCACAGTCCCATTAGCAATTGTTTATTTATCTTCCTGCTGGGCTGCTCCACAGGCTGCTGCCAAACGGCCCTCTGACTGAGTGTTATCTTCCAGGACACGGCTGCCACCTGTGAGTTTTTAAATCCACAGGGGACAAGGGCAGTGAAGAGAATCATATACGGCGATTACGGCCGTATAACAACGTACAGGGATGAGATGTTGTGTAGCTGTTTCTGTTTCCTATTTGAAAAGCTTTCTGAATTGTGACAACTGAGGAAACATGGCCACAACCTTTGCATGAACCTTGGCCCCTCACACCAGATAACTCCTTTGTAATTGGAAAATGAGGTAATTTCTGGATCAGCACAGGCTTCAAGGAAACATGACACATCAATCTCTTGGGCAACAAGAAGCAAATGATCGTCTGAGAGAGATAGCCACTCCTCCTCTGAACCCAAGAAAATGACTGTGCATTTCAAGATGTGATAACAGATAAGATACACAGTAGTAACGGTGAAACAAACAAACTGGCAAGAGTTCGTGAAAGCATTCTGACCTGCGTTTTGGGGAAAAGCATAGGATATGGGCAAATCACCTTTAAAAATATTATTAAAAATACTTTATACAACAAAACAGAGACAATCGACTTTGTAAAATGACTTTTTTTCTCCCAATGACTTTCATGATAAAGCCAGAAACATATTCTGTTCAGAGTGGTTTTGACTTCGAGATGGTCCCTCGGCACGCTGCTCTGTGACTTTGCGGACTTCCGGCCGTGACAGGAGTGCAGGTGTAGTGTCGCCTTCACGGTGTAGGGAAGACAGCTCGGCTCCGAAGGTCTTTGCTGACTAGCTCTGTCCCTAAGCCCGCCAAGCCACCCCCACTTCAAGACTAATCTGCCTCGTTCCCCTAGGCAGTAACCGCCTACCTCCCCAAATCCCACGTCAACCAGGAAAACCGCCTACTCGAACCTCTCAGGTATTTCTGCTGAAAAACTGTAAGAAATGCAAAACTGCAAATACCACGTGACTCCATTTAGATGAAATATCCAAAATAGGCAAATTTATGGACAGAAAGTAGACTCAGGCTGTGGGAGCTGACGGGAAATAGGAGTGATTGCTAGTGGGTATGGAGTTTCTTTCTGGGATGATAAAAACTTCCCAAAATTGGCCATGGCAATGGTTACACATTCTGTGAATGTATTTACTAAAACCCACTGCACTGTATACTTTAAGTGGGTGAATCATATGATGTTTCAGTTATATCTCAAAAAGGTATTACAAAAAACTATGAGAAAATATTTCATATCTACCCTTTTAGGTTTTTAGAATAGAAGGAAAAGGGAGAAAATATTGTACATCTTGAATGTAAGGGAGACCTACTGCCAAGAGGGAAGCATCAGCTTCTTTTTATGTTTAAATCTGTTTTGGTTGCCCCTGCAGGGTGAGTGGGAAGAAGGAGACAATGATTTGTTATTTGAATGGGAAAACAAATCAAACATTTCTCATTTCAAAGAGTCTGTCTTGCATTTGTAAGAATAATGTTTAAACCTCTAAATTCTATGGTAAGGCAAAAATTCTACTCTAGAAATTTATCCTAATAAATACCGTATCATAAGTAGAAAATTACCTATGTATAAAATCATCACTGTGGCACTCTTTGGAAAGACTGATAACAAATGTTCATTAACAGGGGATTGATTAAGTTGTGGTCATTAACACAACAGAAACAATGCATCCATAAAAAATAAATAAGCTTTTTAAGAACTGATATGAAATAAATT